GCATTGTCATGTGCAAAGTATTCTTCACATGACAATATATTGTTAAATCTAAACGTTACGTTACAATAAACCAATTATATGTAAGTTGTTCTCAAAAATCATGTTAGTGAAGAGCTGATCGTGCCACATACGCTTAGGCAAGTGGCCCTATTATTTGCCTTGTACTAGTCATCAAATTCCAGTCTATTAGAAATCGACTTATTTATTTGAAAGAAGAAAAAAAAAAAAAAAAAAAAAAAAGAAGGGGTTGACTGATTTATTTTTGGCTTTTTTTATTAACACCTTACATAATATTGAATGCACCCCACATTAAAAATTAATTTTAAGTGACTTATGTAACCTCCTATGCAATGACAATTTCGACCCTATAAGTGACTTATGTAACCTACTATGCAATGACAATTTTGACCCTATGAGGTTTAAAGAAAATAAGAAATTTCTAAATACATCCCAAATTACTTGTGACGTATTATGTATCTTCTTCAACTATCAAAACCCCCCTCACCCTCCATTCCATTGTTGAATATAATTCTAACTATTGAAACTATAAACACGTTGATTGAGAAAAAAAATTAACGAATGGAACACAATACCAATATTTTGGAATCTTCACATGAGGCAAAATTTCATATTTGTCATTGTTTTAATTATTCAACAACATCGGTAATTATTTAAGCATGCTTTTGCTTTCCATACCACCCAATTTCATAGAAGGCCAACCCATCAACGCCTTTTCTGTTCTTCTTCATCTTATGGGGTTTACTGTTGATCTGTTAGGTTTCTCCCAATTGCCATTTTTAGCAGAAATCCTTTTGTTAGCAAAAGGTTTAAAGAGACAAAGAAAAGGAGATTGGCTGTGATGACCCAATGAAATTGAAGCTTAACATACCAGATTGTAAACTTCCCATTTTAGAGAATGTTACGCTTTTAATCCTAAGTCAATTTAATTTATAAAAATTGAAAATGAGTATTATAAGATTTGAAGAATTAATGTGGGGTGTATGTGGAAAATATTAGGTGTATGAGAATGTGGGGTGTAAGGGTATTATGAGAAAGAATGTGGGGTGTATTAAGATAATTTTTAATTGAAAAACTAAATATGAGGTATTAAGTATGTGGGGTTTAATTAACAATACGTGGGGTGTTAATAGAATAAGCCTTTATTTATTTATTTATTTTTTGTTCATGCATACTTTATGGGTCATTTTGATGGGAAACTAGGATGGGATAGTGATGGTAGCACCTCTTCCAGGTCAATGGTAGAGCCCACTTCACTTGAACGTCTTGAATCGTTCAACTAATGAACACTTTGAAGCGAAATCTCATGGAAAGTTCAGGAAGACCTACGATAGTCTTTGAAGAAAGTTCTATGGTTTCCTCAACCCCACCTGTCACATCCCAGCCCGGGGTGGAACCACTTCCCGGGTCCGACTCTACCACTACCGTAGCACGATATTGTCCGCTTTGGGCTTACCATTCCCTCACGGTTTTGTTTTTGGGAACTCACGAGCAACTTCCCAGTGGGTCACCCATCATAGGATTGTTCTAGCCTCCTTCTCGCTTAACTTCGGAGTTCCTACGGAACCCGAAGCCAGTGAGCTCCCAAAAGGCCTCGTGCTAGGTAGGGATGAGAATATACATTTAAGGATCACCCCTGGAAAATTTCTTAGACTAAAGAATAATGTATATTTCTTCGTTTATAAAAATTTAAGTCTTTAAGCTAGCCCACCTAATGAAAATTTAAATATTTATGTTTACATTTATGGTCATTTAAGTTGTAACCGCAAGTCATTGGCTATTTGCTTCTTGTGTAGAGGAGGTTTAATAGTGATAGTATCTGCCGCTTTCACTTGAGGATGTATTAGTACAGCAAGAAACCCTTATTTAATGCCAAAAAAAAAAAAAACCATCATTCAATGCCAAAAGTCCATTATTTTTTTAATAAATGATATTATCTACATTAAGGAGGAGGAGGTGAGCGTAGCCTCACAAAGGGCTAGCAATAATATGGTTCAAACTCGTCTTTGGCAAGAATTGAACTTAAGACTTTTCACTTACAAATGAAGAGGAATACCACTAGACCGTACTACTAAGTGGCTAAAAGTCCATAATTTTAAGACCACACACACACACACAAGGACGAGCTATATTTGTACGCAAAACTCTATAACGTTTCTTGTAGGTGTTGTTCCTTTCCAACCATGAATGTGAATGGAAAGCACTCAATCATAAGGCTTACCAAAAGTAAGAAAATGTTGAAAAAAAATAAAAACTATTGGAAATTAAGGTGAACCTCCTCCATCCCAAGAAGATGCATTTGTATGGGATTCCAAAATAGTTCATTGAATTTAAAAGAAAAAGAAAAAGCATTGGAGTGGGATTCTAATCCCATGGAAAAGGCTTTTCTGAAATTCGAAAGGAAACGGAAAGTAGAAGCCAACAAGAACTCGTTGGTCCCTCCCCAACTGTCAAAGTTGTCTCCTAAGTTGCTAGAGGATGAGCTCAGTCCAAATATCAAAACTGTGGTTGCTCAAGGACAGGGAACATGCCGTGTTAAAACCTTTAATCATGAAGGAAAAGATGTCTGCATTTCGTAGTAATTACATGTCAGGTAAGGGATGAAGATGACGAACTACAGTGCTATTTATAGACGTGAATGAAGGCAAGCATTCTGAACTCTGAAGTTGCAAAGAAGCAGCCAAACGGCTCCACCTTCTCCCTAAGTCAAGTCAATTGTCAGCTCCTATCACACGGACAAGAGTCCCATTCAAGGAAGAGATGAGCCGCAAGAAAAAGGGAGAAGAGGCCCAAAACTCAAAGTTTAATTGGTGGTTTATCAAAAATATCCATCAATTTTATTTAACGATGAGGTGGTATAAAACAGCTAAATCCCACACACACACATATCCCTTCTTTTATATCCGATCACAGGCAAAGAAAAATTTAAACGAGGAATGCAATGGATTAAACCAATGGTCCTATCAAATCATGTTATGGTGACAGAGGTCTGGAAAGCAAAGGCATACAACGCAAATGCCCATTAGTTGTATTTGAAGGATAATAGTGGTACAAAACCACGAAAGCTTTTGGTCAAACTCTCATAAAAGACTTTGGGCAAACCAAATCACCCATGAACTACGAGTGGCTTGATCCCTCGCAAAGGGTACGTGGGCAATTTGGGGCACGACCTAGGTGTAGCCGCAAAATCAAACAAGCATCCAAATCTCCAAATTACGATTTATTCATATTGGAATTAAAGGGTATTTCTTGGTTAACGAATGATTGTAATTAATAGATGCATTGTCTAGACATGATCGAACTCAAATTAATAAAACCCTCTTCGAAAAAACAAACTAGTGTGAAATCGTGTTGAGTAACTTATTTGTATACATCTTGTGTACAATTTTTTTCTTTTCTTTTCAACATAGTAGATGGTGGAAAAACAATGGGACCCTACTAATCATGATACACATTTCATATTTGAAAAGTTTTCCACACTAACGTGTGGAACCCTTACCACTAGTCTATAAAAAAAACCTCTCTCACAACTTCACCATCATGCTAACATCGAAGAGTGCAGAACAAAACACAATGGGATTCAGCCGATGCTTGTTTGTGTCCAATATGTGTTATATACTCTCAAAAGTTGTGTTGTTTCATCTCATTGTTGTTTCATCAGTTTCGTCATTGCAGCAATATTGTCACGACGAGGAGAGGTCTGCCTTGCTGCAATTGAAGGGAAGTTTCATCATTGATAGATCTGCCTCGTTTTCTCATGACGCTTATCCAAAGATTTTGCAATGGAAACTAGCTGAGGGATGAAATGGCAACTGCTGTGCATGGGATGGCATTGTGTGTAATGAGAGGACGAGTCATGTGATTGACCTTAATGATCTATCAACTCCAACAGCAACCTTTCCCGGCTTGTTCAACTTCAAGTGCTGAACCTAGTTGACAACAACTTCAGTTCCTCTCGAATTCCTACTAGCATTAGGAATTTCCCCAAGGCTCATGTATTTTATTCTCTCTTCTTCTATCTTTTCTGGCCAAATCCCATTCCAAATTTCACAATTGGCCAAATTGTCGTCCCTTGATCCTTCTTCGAATTAGTTAACCGGTCCAATTCCTTCTCTAGGAAATCTCATCCATCTCATAGAACTTTCTCTATCTTTGAATCAGTTTATCGTGTTATGACCAAATTATTACTGAGGTTTTATGCTTTATTACCGTGAGGAATTGTTAATATGCCAACTGGCATTTAAAAGTGTAGAGGCTCTATAAAAGGAGCCTAGCTCCCTCAAATGTGGTAGATCAGAATTTACACAAAAGAAATATAAACAAAAACAATTCAAGAGCTTAGCTCTCTCTCTTTCTTCCCTTTCCCTCTCTATCCTCTGTGTTACTTGCAAATTGATTAAGGGCTTAGAGATTTAGATCTTATCAATAGTATCATCCTTCTCGAATCCTGGTTTCCCTCCTGTGCATGCCCACCCAACCCGTCTTCCTACCATGGATGCATGTTCTTAATTCCAGATATGCCCATTGCAATCCCAATATCAGCAAGTTTCAAAACAAGTGCATCATTCAGTGGTTTCAAAGCACTAGTTGACATCTCATGAAGAGCTTGCACGATATAGGTCCTTGAGTTATCATCCAGTGTTACAACAATGCCATCAAGCAATTGAACCTTGGTGCTTTTCTCAAGCAAATTCTCTATAGCACCCTTCACTAGCAATGACTCCTCCCTTGAAACAGAGTTGACAATTACACCCGTGGATTTCTTATCATGATCGAACTCAAGGGTTGCAATTCGACATTCAAATTCACTCCACTTCTGGCAACAACCAAGCAAATCCCTTCCATTTGATGATTCCGCACCTTGGACTCTTCGGAAAGGACCATCTTCTCAACTAAAAACTTTGGAAAGGGAATGGCAGTGCTCAACCTATGATATTCAAGTAGCAAATGTGTCGATTGAAGCTTATGATAAAACAGGGACCATGACTACAAACCAGATGGTAGTGGCAAAACTTGTAGCTTTGCGTCCTAGGCCTATTATACTACTGAAGTTTAGGGTGGATGGAATTATATACAATCCACTTGATGGTGAAATTCTTAACTGGCCAACTGGTCAAATGGACGCTAATCTTCAAATGATCGCGAAGGTAGCTGATGTTTGCAATAATGCTAGCATTTCATAAGCAGAACAGAAGTATGTTGACCATGGAATGCCTACTGAGGCAGCTCCGAAGTTTTCAGTTGAGAAGATGGTCCTTTCTGAAGAGTCCAAGGGTGTGGAATCATTTAATGGAAGGGATTTGCTTGGTTGTTGCCAAAAGTGGAGTGAATTTGAATGCCTAATTGCAACCCTTGAGTTCGATCGTGATAAGAAATCCATAGGTGTAATTGTCAACTCTGTTTCAAGGGAGGATTCATTGCTAGCGAAGGGTGCTGTAGAAAATTTTCTTGAGAAAAGCACTAAGGTTCAGTTGCTTGATGGCACTGTTGTACCACTAGATGATAGCTCAAGGACCTATATCGTGCAAGCTCTTCATGAGATGTCAACTAGTGCTTTGAAACCACTAATGATGCGCCTGTTTTGAAACTTGCTGATATTGGGATTACAATGGGCATATCTGGAATTGAGAACATGACCATCACAAGGGAATGTGTTGCTGCTTTGAAACAAGTTCCCACATCCAAATTTTTTTAGCCTTGTGGACAAGGCTAATTTTCAAGGGGGGAGTATTGTTATGACCCAAATTATTACTGAGGTTTTATGCTTTATTACTGTGAGGAATTGTTAATATGCCAGCTGGCATTTCAAAGTATAGAGGTTGTATAAAAGGAGCCCATCTCCCTCAAATGTGGCAGATCAAAATTTACACAAAAGAGATATAAACAAAAACAATTTAAGAGCTCAGCTCTCTCTCTCTCTCTTCCTTCTCTTTCCCTTTCTATCCTCTGTGTTACTTGCAGGTTAATTAAAGGCTTAGAGATTTGGATCTTATCATACCGGTCAAATTCCATCTCTAGGAAATCTCATCCACCTCACAGAACTTGATCTGTCTTTTAATTAGTTAACCACTCTAATTCCTTCTCTATGAAATCTCACCCACCTCACATAACTTGATCTATCTTGGAATCAGTTAACCGGTCCAATTCCTTATCTAGGAAATCTCATCTACCTCACAGAACTTGATCTCTCTTGGAATCAGTTAACTAGTCCAATTCCTTATTTAGGAAATCTCATCCATCTCACAGAACTTGATCTGTCTTCGAATCAGTTAGCTGGTCCAATTCATTCTCTAGGAAATCTCACCCACCTTATAGAACTTGATCTGTCTGGGAATCAATTAACCGGTCATTCTTTCTCTAGAAAATCTCATCCACCTCACAAAACTTTCTCTGTCATCGAATCAGTTAACCCGTCCAATTCCTTCTCTAGGAAATCTCATCCACGTCACAGAACATGATATGTCTTCGAATCAATTAACCAATCCAATTCATTCCCTAGGAAATCTCACCTACCTCACAAAACTTTCTATGTATACGAAGCAGTTAACCAGTCTAATTCATTTTCTAGGAAATCTCACCCACATCACAGAACTTGATCTGTTTGGGAATCAGTTAACCGGTCAAATTTCTTCGCTAGGAAATCTCATCCACTTCACAAAACTTGATCTGTCTTTGAATCAATTTACCAATCCAATTCATTCTCTAGGAACCCACTTCACAAAACTTTGTCTGTCTGTGAATCAGTTAATCTGTCCAATTCATTTTCTAGGAAATCTCACCTACCTCACAAAACTTGATATGTCTTTGAATCAGTTAACCACTCCAATTCCTTCTCTACGAAATCTCATCCACCTCACAGAACTTGATCTGTCTTCGAACCAGTTAACCGGTCCAATTCCTTCTTTACAAAATCTCACCCACCTCGCAATACTGTCTCTGTTTTGGTGTCAGTTAACCGATCCAATTCCTTTTTTAGGAAATCTCATCCACCTCACACTACTTGATCTATCTTTGAATTAGTTAACTGGTCCAATTCCTTCTCTAGGAAATCTCACCCACCTCACAAAACTTTCTCTATATTCGAACTAGTTAACCAGTCCAATTCCTAATTCCTTATCCAATCTCATCAATCTTGAGGTATTTGATCTACATGATAATAATCTGACTGGTGCAGTGGAGTTCCACATGGTGTTTCACAGTCACAAGGGCTCACCAAATTAGAACTATCTCGTAATAGTGAATTTTTTTTTTCACAGAAACAGAAAGTATGAATGCAAGCCTACTTCCAAAGTTAAACTTTCTAGGATTGGGTTTGTGCAACATAAGAGAGTTCCCAAGTTTCCTACAGTATCAAGAAACATTGGTGTACTTGGACCTTAGTACCAAAATGGATCTTGAACACAAGCACAAAGGCTTTGAAGTACATGGACATTTCTCACAACTTCCCTTCAAGCATTGTCCAGCCTTCAGATGCCTTTCCTTGGGCTAACCTACATGTTTTATTGCTCAGGAACAACATGCTACATGGAGCAATTTCACCGTTGATCTACAATCTGACTTCTCTTCAGTTCCTTGATCTTTCCAACAACAATATGTGTGGAATAATTCCCCCTGTCTCGGAAACTTCAACGTTGATCTGCAAGTTTTATATCTTGGAAACAACTCTTTCAAAATATACACCAACAGAAGCAATCTGACGTTGATTGATGTTAGTCATAACCAATTGCGAAGGCAACTACCAAGGTCGTTGGTGAACTGCATGAAACTTGAGTTTATTGATCTGTCATACAATAAATTCAACGATGTTTTTCCCTTTTGGTTGGGGGCTCTTCCAGAGTTAAAACTTTTGGCAATGCACCACAACGCGTTCTACGGTCCAGTTGAGGAACCTGATCAGGACAATGTTAAATATTTTCCTGAGTTGCGAATTCTGGATCTATCTTTGAATCGTTTCAGAGGCAAGTTTCTATCTCAAAAAATCTTTTCCGGGAATGTCATGAGGGGTGTCACTCGAAACCAGCCAACATATATGATGGTAGACAGAACTATGGAGACTCCTAGTCTTGAGCTAATCTTTTATGAGTATTACTCAATCGCGATAACTAGCAAAGGTGTGGAGAGATATTATCCGAAGATTCAAGAAGCCCTTGTAGCGATTGACATCTCAAGCAACAAATTTGAAGGGAGTATTCTTGAAATTATTGGGAACCTAGAGGGGTTGGTGTCATTCAATATGTCTGGTAACCTCCTAACTGGTCCCATCCCATCATCTTTCGGGAATTTAAGATGGCTTGAATCACTGGACCTTTCACACAACAAGCTTTCAGGACAAATCCCTCAAAGCCTCACGTAGCTTACATTCCTTGAAATATTCATTGTCTCTGACAACAGTTTGACAGGTCCAATACCTCATGGAACCCAACTTATTTCATTCGGTAGCAGTTCATATGAAGGAAACCCTGGATTGTGTGGAGATCCTTTGCCGAAGAAATGTGAAGATCCTAAGGCTCCTCGCCTGTTGACTTCAAAAACCGAAGAAAATTATTCAAGCTCGTTTGAATTTGATTGGAAATTTGTTTTGGCTGGTCTCGGAAGTGGGTTGGTAGTGGGAGTTGTTCTTTCTGATGTGGTGATCACAAAGAAGCATGAATGGTTTGTTTAGATTGTTAAAACCATCAAGCTGATGATAGGAAATTCGTAAGTCCACTATAAGGTTATGCATTTGGTGTTATTTTTTGCTTGTTTTATATTATTTCTTTGTACTCCTTTTTAATGTTATGTCTTCCTTTTGTTTTATATTGTTTTTTGCTTGTATATTAGTTCCACAAAAGGTACAAACCCAGCTGAGAGGCGGCATTGTTCTGTAAGATGAAGTGAAACTGGTACCGGGCAGGATTGTTTGATATGTATGGAATAATAGAACAAGAATTCATAATGCTATCAAAAGTAAACCCAAATTTAATAACAGATAGATATTAGAAACAGTTTAACTGCCAAATATGCTAGTCAAGCAAACACACAGCAACTCACATATGAAATATCTGAGTTATCTAATATGTATTATGTGCCACTAATTCACATATTTTCTTACGTGCCACTAATTCATTACAATATATTTAAGTACGGACATTTCACTATACTAACTCAGTAAATTATGATACAAACGTTTAGGTACACAAACGTTTAGGTACACTAATTAGAAGAAGTTAAACAAAATTAAAAAATTAAAATATGTATAATAATAAATTTGAAATTTATGTGATGACATTAAATAAGATATCTATTAAATATTTAAAAAAATACAATATAAATTTGAATTATGTACCCAATAAAGGACTAAAATGTATATGTACTCTAACACCAGATTTTTATTAAAGTTTAATCTTTTTTTAAGAACTAAAGTTCAAAACCCCCTAATTTGTTTTTCCAGAAGTTTGGGGGTAAAATTGGAAGAAGAGTGAGCCAAAGAAGGGTAATGAGAATGAAGAGAAGAAAAGCAGCAATGAAGGAATACTTACCCGTAGCAACAAGTATAGCCAATGCGATGGACAGCACCTGCACACTCGCAGCCCAGTCAATCCGACGGCCAAGACATTGTTAGGATCTGGGTCCAGTAAGAGATCACCCGATTTGATGTTGCCGAATAAAGGCCATTGATTCTTCCCCAAATCATCGACACTGCCACCACCGTCGGATCCAGTTCATTCATCTTTTCCTTTCTCTTCTACCCTCTCCTTGGAATTCGAATCCTGCTCCAACCCGTTGCCGTTGTTCACAAATACCACAAATCTTTTGGGTATTTTTGGGATTTGGGTTTTTGAGGGGCGAATAATAAGAGAAATTGAGATGGGTCTACGTGTGAGAGTAGCCCTAAACATGTCTTCCCACACATCCAAATTTTCCAGGAAAATTGGGAAACCGAGAAAGGGCCTTTCCTATTTCCCCACAACATTTTTCAATTTTTGTGGGTTGGGTTTTGGGTTGTATGTGAATTGGGTTGAAGAGTTTGGACTCAATTAGAAGTAGAGATTGTGGACTTTGGACTTGGTTGCAAACTTGCAAGAGCTTTCCGCTTTATTAGCATTTGTTATGTTGGACTGGGACCAAAAATCGGATATGAAGTATGAAACATGAAGTGATCACGTTTTCTGAGGTGAACTTTGGTCTGACAGCTACTAAACTTGAAGTTACGAATTCAATCGAAATGTGAAATTAATTTGTGTGTGAAGAAGTACTTAGTTGGATTATCTTTGCTTGCATGGAAGTCATACCCAGGACAACTGGATCTACAAATGTCATATAAACAACAAATAAGGGCGTGTTTTCAATCCCGTCGTTGGATGAATGCCTATCTTTTTTTTATCTTTTTAAACAAACGACACTATTTACACTCTTATTTTGTCCCGGGAACTAAGATATATATATATATATATATTTGGATTGGGAGAGGCCACATCACCTTTGCTATGAGGCCACAAACATGACCTTCTTTGAGAAATAGGCTGCCCTACATATGTAAGGACTCAAAACTATTGTAATACATACACAAATATCAATACACCACAATGGATGTAGCTCGATTACAGGTGAACCAATCTATCTCTTAGGATATGGTTCATCTGACCCGCTTCAACTACTTGTGTTCACACAAATTTTTTTTTTTTTCACTTTAAAAGATTTTCTTTTTGCTCTTGAACAACTTATGTCATGCTATATTATAATTAATGATTTATATATGAAAGCATCTTAAAACTTTAGGAGTTCTTATTTACAAAAGCTCAGGGAGTTTTGTGGAAAAAACAATGAATGTTTTGTGGAAAAAACAATGAATGTGAGGGGTTATGTGAAATCTATGTGATGGCTACTAAGTAAGCACACAAATTAAAACCCTCTTGTGACAATTGTAGTAAAGATGCAAGTAGGGATCGTTCTAAACCGGGGATTAGGAGGGATTACTAAATCACTTGGAAACTGACTCAAAAACGTAAAATAAAGTTTGAAACACTAAACTAAACTCAATGAATGCAAACTAAACAATAAAAACACTAAAACAAATCAAAAGACTCAAAGAATACAAAAAACTTATAAACACAAACTAAGACACTTTCTAACTAAATTAGACACTAAGATAAAGGGGGATTGAGGTTTTGACGAAAATAAATTAAATGCACGGATTGTAAATTTAAGGCAGAATTTAAATATGAATGTGATGAAATATGGAATGAATGCTAGCTAGAAGGTTCTTCTCCACACATGTTACACTTGCATACAAAATGATTTTCAGTTGGTCTTTCGATAAATTATGAAACTCAACACCCCAGGTTAATTAGGTCCGCTTAAATTAACCGTCAAGTTCTCCTTGAGTTAATGAATTGGATGGGTTAGCGCAACGCAATTCAAAACATTCTCCAAAAGTCTTTTTCGTGAAAAGCACAATAAAGATACAATCAAAGATCATTAAGCATCATGAAAACTATAAGTGTTGACGAGGCATTCGTTACTATGATGAGCATGAAACTAGTGCCAAGAATTCATTTAACGCGATTGTTTATAAGCAACCTCCACTACTTGTGAAAATAAGTTCATAACTATTAGGTGAAATTCACTTATATTCTAGCGTCATATTCATGCATGAAAATTAAGCGTGCACTCTCAATCAACATACATAAATAAGTTATCGATCAAGCAGTTAAACAAATTGAATCCACAACTTATGAAATTCCAACCAAATATAATCAATTCATATTGCAAGCATAAACATGGTTTCGAATCACCCCCTAGCTAACTAGGGGGATTTAGCCTCTCATGTTCACAACAAGAAAAATAGAATTGAATTTAAACATAAAGAACAAAGGATGGATTACACCTAGAACGCCCAATGAATCCACTTGAATTTCTGCGCGTCTAAGTCCTCTTTCCTCTTCTCCTTGCTGCGGTAGTGAGGTTAAATGGATGATTTGGATGTTATTTTGGGTTGGGGATGGATTTAGGGAAGATTGGTGGTGCGGCAATGGTGGGAAGTGTGTGGAATATGGCTGGAATGGAAGAAGAAATGCAATGGGAAGCTACGGCTGTTATGGAATGGTGTTGAATGTGTGACTGCGGACAGGTTTTTAGAATTCTGTTATATGGATGCTGCGGCTGTGTTTTTGGGAGGAAAAATATATGGAATTAGGGTTTTTTTTTTATGCGAAAAAGTGGCTGCATGAAGATGGATTAAAATATGAGAGGATTAGGGTGATGGAATGATAAATGGGATGCACCGCTATATTAGGATGCATGCGGCAAAAGGCCAAAAAAATGGGATAATGGGAAGTAATGGAGTTGCGGCTGTTTGTGCTTTTTAATGGGAAGAAAAATGGCTGCATAATTAAATGGGATGAATGGGATCATGGGCTACGGTTTTTGAATGGATGGGGAAGAATGGTAATGGAATGGAATTAGGGTGAAAAATCATGGAATGCACCGCCTTGGTCAGAACATAAAATGGGATAATTCCATGGGGGAGCCACGGCTTAGGGAATTAAGGTTATGTGTGTGAATGGCTGAGATTGTTTTATCAAATAAATGGATGGGAATGTGACGGCTAAAGATGTAAAACCTAGGGTTTTAAATATGTTTGGTTCCTAGCTTATTTTTATTAACGAAAATAAATTCAAAGGCTTCTAGAATTAGGAAATAAAATCAGAAATTAAAGAGGGAAAGATTAAAGGGTGTGGCTAGGGCCTTGGTTTTGTGTCCTAAAGCGCCTACAAGGACTTCAAAGTGGCAAGAAAATACGGACGTTTAAGATTAGGAAAGGTTACCAAAACGGGAAACTTAGGGTTAACTTTCCTAAAATAGGAAACCTTGTTTGAGTAGGATTCCTCGTTTTGGTAAGAATTCATCGTTGGCGTAGGAATTTGTCGTTTCTTCACGTCTTCAACTCATTCATTCCTCTTTTGTTCCAAAAGGCTCCAATTTGCATCTTCTTGCACACTTTGGCCTTATAATCTGAAAATACACAAAAGTGGCCTTAAACACTAAAACAACTAAGTAAACACAACGTAAATGCACGAGAACAAGCTAATTAAGTCGCATGAATATGCGCCTATCACTATGTGATTAACTATAAGAAATTTGTGGAGAATTTTTTAATGATATAATCCATTTTTGGATGAAATTTTCACGGAATGGGCTTCATGGAAACAATATGAAACTTCAAGGGGTATTATTATAAACCACAAGGGATTTGTGTGAACATGGAAAAGGTAATCGTAGGGAGATTAAATTTGTAGACAAAATTTTGGAAACTAAATGACATAGAAGTTGATGATTAATTTATTACTTAAGCATTAATAAATGTGTTCATTCCTATTGGTGACATATCATTTAGTTTACAAATTTAGTCTCCCTAACATTACTCACAGAGAAAACATCAAGGGATGCTAGTGTAATCAAATAAAAATTGTGAGGTATAGTTAGGGTTAATATTGTCACAAACCTGCCATTTTATGCTATGGAGATGATTTGTGGACTAATGTTTCGACGCATATCTAGCGAGACAAGCTTATTCTTTTGGTTATTTGATCCAACGGCTAAAATTATTATAAATTTTAAAGTGGGCTCCTGTTTGTAGCTGTTTGATCAAATTTTGAAAGCTCGGACTTGTGGCCATGGTGGACTTGTTGGAAGGGATCCGGAGAGGATCCCTTTCCAATAAAGAATACATTATTAAATTAATAAGCAATCAATTATTGACAGAGAGAGAAAAACTATTAATTAATTGATTATTTAATATGCACTAAATTAATAGATTTTTCTTGTTCTAAACATCATTTAATTTAAAGAGTTTTAACGAAAAGCCTACGATATTGTTCACTTTAACGAAAAACCATATTTTTACACTAAAAAGTCAATCTTGGTACTATTCACTTTACCATTTATTTTGTCATTGTCATTAAAACTCAAAGTTTTCAAGTCATTTTCATTAGTTTTCCTTTTAATTTATGGAGGGTTTGATTGTATTTGAGATCAATTGATTATTTCATGCCATAATACAGTTTGAGTGGTATTTTCTTTCTACAAAGCTTGATTGCTTAAAAAAAAATGCAGGAGTTCCTGCTCTTACTCAATAACAACTTGACAAATATTTAAGTTGTCTTTTCGAGTTTTAATTTTTCAATTTTTTTTAACACTTGTCAAATGTTATTGGTTGAGACTTGAGAGTAGCAGCTCCAACATTTTAATAAACAGCTAATCTTTGGTTTTTTTTTTTTTAACTCGTAAATGAGAAGTTTTGAATTTGATATAGCGGTACAAACAAACATACGAACAAACTAGAAAAATACAAACGAACAAACTATATAGGGTAAATTACACTTCATATTTCAGGTTTGGAGTCTATTTCAATTCCTTACAACATTTTCAAAACATTTTACTTTCATATCTTATGTACTATTTTATTTCAAAATAATACATCCATTACATTTTTCATCCATTGATCCGTTAAGTGCTGACGTGGCTGCCACATATATGCCACATGGCTGCCAAACCGAACCCACCCAGACCATGACCCCCCCCCCCCCCCCGACCTCCATATTTTTGAGGTTTTCAATACGGGTAAGCTTCGAAATACTTTAAGATGGGGAGTTTGAGCTTGAGATGATTGTTGGACTGATTTTGTGGTAGATCCACCTAATCTTGGGTGGGATTTTTTGGGATGGGTGACGGGGGATTTTTGGGAGGGGTGATGGGGGATGGAAGAAGGGGGTGGCCCAAGTGGGATTTTGGGATAGGTGATGATGGATGGGAGGAAGGGGCTAGGTCAGGGAAGACAATTTTTGGTTTTTTCCTCCTCTTCTTCTTCTTTTTATTCTTCATCTAGGTTGTAGGTTTTTGGGGTTGGGGGTGGGGAGGGTGGGGGGACAAATTGGGTTTGGCCTTTTTTTTTTTTTCTCACCTTCTTCTTCTTCTTCGTCTTGTTGTTGTTGTTGCAGGTTTAGGGAGGTGGGGGTGGTTGCGGGGAGATGGGATGGGATGGGTTTCAATTTATTTATTTATTTTTTTTTCTCCTTCTTCTCCCTCCTCCTCATCTTCTTCTTCTTGTTGCAGGTTTAGGGATGTAGGGGGTGCAGGTTTAGGGATGAGTTTCAAATATTATTATTTTAAGAAAATTCAGGTTTTCTAAAAAGAAATTAAAAAAATATTTTTTTTACCACGTGACAGAGATTTGGCAGTCATATGGCATATATGTGGCAGTCACATCAGCGCTTAACTGATCAATGAATGGAAAATGTAACGGAGATATTATTTTGAAATAAAATAGTGCTTAAGCTATGAAAATAAAATGTTTTAAAGATGTTCTAAAAAATTGAAATCGCCTTATGAAAGTGTAATTTACCCAACTATATAAGTATAAGTTGCTCTGTTACTAATTTTCTATTAGCAGTAGAAACAAACAAACGAACAAACCAGAAAGCAAAATGCGATGGCGGCAATGAGATCCGGTGGGAGCCTGGTGTTGCTAACTCGAGCGTTGATCACTCGCTCCATGGAGTCGTCTCGGGGAGCTACTCGCTACTTGAGCGCAGGCAAAGGCAAAATCCTCAGCGAGGAGGAGCGCGCCGCCGAGAATGTCTACATCCAGGTACGCAACCCCAAGCTCTCTCTCCTCTCTTTTAATTTTCTTTTTTTTTTTCAAAACTTTGTTTTATAATACTAATTTTTCAATCAGATTTGAATCTGTGTTTACGTTATTATTATGTTTTGTTCGATCAGAAATGATATTTTGAATTTATTGAATTACTGTGATTGAATTTATTGAGTTACTTCAACCAGATATTTGTGCTAGTGATGAGTTTTGACTGGTTTATTCCAATTTTAATCGGTTATTACTTCTAAGACATTCTTCCTACAGTATGACTGGATTTCATTCATTATTTCAATTCCACATATAACGGTCATTTCTCTTTTGCAGAAGGCTGATGGAAGCTGAAATGGTGATTGGCACTTTGGCAGTACTTGAAAAACTTTTCCTTTGGATGTAATCATGAATAATAACACTGTATATAACTTATGTGAGAATCGCTCTGCGTTGAGTATCGGTGTTCTTCGTGGCATCTTTTCTTAAACATTAATGGGATAACTTGGATTTTTTATGATCTTCTTGTCTTTTATGTGATTGTTTTTACTCAGTTCCATTGACTCGGTTGAGGGAGTCATTTTCTGCTCGTATCGTGTTCGTGGCTTACTTTGGTTCATAAGGTTCCACATTTATGATGAAGCTTACATATGTTATGCTGCGGGTAACGGAAATATGATCCTCCAGATTGTGTGAAAATTGTGTAAAAATTGTGTGAAAATTGCATTATTCCAACTTAGAACCTACCACTCTTGTTCCTTAAAGACTTTAAAAGTAAAAGTACCCCACCATTTAGACAACCTTTTTTCTAATTTTTACATTCTTTTGCTAATTTTAAATGAATGTCTCACTCCATAACTTTATGACCGTTCTTCAAATCAACGTAACACATTATTCAAGATCTTTTTATATATAAACAGTTGATTTTAAATGAATATCTCACTCCATAACTTCAAGACCGTTCTTCAAATCAACGTAACACATCAATCAGGATCCTCTTATATGTAAATAGTTGATTTTCAAACTTGTTAAAATTTGATCTTTGGAAATTTCTATGCAAGAATAATCCTCCAGATGCCAAAAACTCTTTTGGTATAGCCAACTGATACGACAGTCTTCATTCCTAACTTATATTGTATGTGTGTTGACCGTGGGGTATCCCAGATCCATGAAGTTTCTTGATTCACCAAGCACCCACGCATATCCAACTACATCCCAAATTATTGTGTTTATTTTACGATTCATATTGTTTCATCTGACTAGCATTCGAAGTAAAGTTCGGCAGAATAATTAGTTTTGCTTATGAATTAATTGGCTTTGTTAGGCAAGTTTTGGTATTCCATACTTAATGAGAAGAGAAAAACTTGGGTGGGGATGACGTGCTATACAACAAGATAAGTGATACGTATATATAGTTTCCAGGTAAAAAATATAGTGTTACAGAATTCAACCTCACAAAACATGTTACAGTAAAATAGATAAAACCAGTAGACCTTTTCAACAATGGCAATACAATGTATAGTCGTTAAGGCCTAAAATCGTATAAATATGAAGTGAAATCTAACTATTGGTGTCTGAAAATGAGTTACAGAGGAGGAAGAAAGATGGTTAATTATAACCACATTGTGGTTTTTGGCGTTGGGGGTGGGGAGGGTGGGGGGACGAATTGGGTTTGGCCTTTTTTTTTTCTCTCCTTCTTCTTCTTCTTCGCCTTGTTCTTGTTGTTGTTGTTGCAGGTTTAGGGAGGTGGGGGTGGTTGCGGGGAGATGGGATGGGATGGGTTTCAATTTTCTGAGTGATCAAAATGATGAGGTTGGGATTGGAGGACTGGCAATAATTTATGCCGGCTTGAGGTTTAATTGAATAGTATCACCTGGTTGTCTAGAATAGACTGACTAGCTTATCAAGCTTTTCAATGTTGTCTTATTTTTGGTCTCCTTGGCCCATTGGCACGGATGACCATGACCTACATTTCACCTGCTTAATTAGCCTTCACATCACAGTTTTGTCAATCTGTTTTTCTTAACCAACTTTGAGACTTAGGCTTACTAGTGAGAACGTCTATACTTATCGTTGAGTTTTCCTGCAATCTGATCTTAAAATGTCATTATTGAGGTACATGGCATCCCTTAGGGAAAGCTACATTTTTCTCTGCATCTAGTTGCTTATTTATGAATGGGTTCAATCACTTAAAAAAGAATAATAAAAAGAAAGATAGATTGCAGCTCCTTCAACAAGCGCTTTCGATAACTTCAAATTGGTTGCTTATTCTAGATGAATGAGAGAGAATTGCTGGCTCTTGGGTTCTATGTTAGTCTTACATATGACCTCAAGGGTAAAAAGTTACAGAACATAGGTTTATAGTGAAAAGTCTGCATTTTTTTGAAAACTAGATCATTTGTTTTCTTAAAAAGTGTAGAGTATCCTGGGGAGACAGCCCTTTGCATAAACCTATGTGGCCTGTTTGATGGCCTAGCGATTCTGCTTGAATACTAACAAATTATACCACGTGTCCTTTTCACTTGATGTGGTAGAATATTTTGTTGTTGCATCTATCACGAAATTTTAACCCAAATGCTAGAGTAGAATGCATTTGTTTTTTAAAATAGAGATGTATGCATGTAATATCATTTACGGTTACTTTTATGTATGGACCATGCTATAATGAGGTTTCTCTGATACATATAATACTTTTTTTACTCATGCATCTTCTTTAAATTTGTCATGAATATGGAGCATTTTAAAATCTGCCTTGATGATGTCTTGTTCTCCAGTTCTTGTTTTCAGGGAAGCTTTTGTTCAATTCTTGCATTGAATCTGCAGTGACGAAGTCTTGGAACGAGTCTGTTATGTTTTCTTGTCCTTGACTCCCTTTACAATTGGTGAAGATGATAGCGTATCTGTTGGATTGATTGTGTATCACCTGATGTTAAAGTCTGTGTAATGTAATTGAAGTTTCATTTTCCCCATTTCAACTGAAGAATATCTTCTAATTCATAATATGTTACTTCAACCAGATACTTGTGCTAGTGATGAGTTTTGACTGCTTTATTCCAATTTTAATCGGTTATTACTTCTAAGACATTCTTCCTACAGTATGACTGGATTTCATTCATTATTTCAATTCCACATATAACGGTCATTTCTCTTTTGCAGAAGGCTGATGGGACACATTAAAAGCTGAAATGGTGATTGGCACTTTGGCAGTACTTGAAAAACTTTTCCTTTGGATGTAATCATGAATAATAACACTGTATATAACTTATGTGAGAATCGCTCTGCGTTGAGTATCGGTGTTCTTCGTGGCATCTTTTCTTAAACATTAATGGGATAACTTGGATTTTTTATGATTTTCTTGTCTTTTATGTGATTGTTTTTACTCAGTTCCATTGACTCTGTTGAGGGAGTCATTTTCTGCTCGTATCGTGTTCGTGGCTTACTTTGGTTCATAAGGTTCCACATTTATGATGAAGCTTACATATGTTATGCTGCGGGTAACGGAAATATGATCCTCCAGATTGTGTGAAAATTGTGTAAAAATTGTGTGAAAATTGCATTATTCCAAACTTAGAACCTGCCAGTCTTGTTCCTTAAAGACTTTAAAAGTAAAAGTACCCCACCATTTAGACAACCCTTTTTCTAATTTTTGCATTCTTTTGCTAATTTTAAATGAATGTCTCACTCCATAACTTTAAGACCGTTCTTCAAATCAACGTAACACATTATTCAAGATCTTTTTATATATAAATAGTTGATTTTAAATGAATGTCTCACTCCATAACTTCAAGACCGTTCTTCAAATCAACGTAACACATCAATCAGGATCCTCTTATATGTAAATAGTTGATTTTCAAACTCGTTAAAATTTGATTAGTTCAACTTTCTAATCTTTGGAAATTTCTATGCAAGAATAATCCTCCAAATGCCAAAAACTCTTTTGGTATAGCCAACTGATACGACAGCCTTCCCCATCGCCCTTAGAATTGTTAAGTACCTTCACAGCAACAAAGCATTCAGAAGAAAGTTTTCCTTTAAAAACAGTTTCGTATGTTTTCCTTACTTGGTTTGTACTTGAATTGATTTGTAATCCTTTTAATATCTGCATATGAATATCTGCTTGGCTTGAGAGCTTTGTAGTCTGCTAAAAATGTTTCAAGTTTTAATCAATTCTCTTTTTCCTTTTGATCAGCGCTATAGACGTGATACGCTACAAAAAACCCTAGAAACAGAACAAACGAACCCAGGGTTGCTCCTGCAAACAGATAGATTCAACCCATGAGTAAACATTTATTCTCGAGTGTCCTTTGGACATGAAACAAAGCTAAACACCACTCTTACACAACTCACCTGTGGCCACAAACGTCTTTGTTTTGCCTGCAAAAGATAGTTGTGAAAATTAGACTGTCAGTTATCGAAATTAATTAATATCAACACCACATATAAGCCACTAATTACATGAAAGGAGAAAAATCAAAGCTGGTAGCAGAGTATATTGATCATAATCTTTGAAAAAAATCATGAGCAGAATGTATGCGAAATAAGATTTGCATGTTTTCCTTACTTGGTTTCCTATGGCGAACACATTCAATTTCACTCTTGGTGCCATTGATATTCAATCTACACCTCTTGCCCTCTACTTCACATTCTGTACAATTTGGTTTGGACCATTTGAATTGAAGAATAACATTGCCATTTACCCAGTCGCGAAATGGAACTGATAAAACATCATACATCCTTGTACAAGACTGTATGGCTGTGAAACTATCAAATAATCCAAAGAAAGAAGAGACGCCATAAATTCTGTCTCCATGGCCACCAAGGCAGGGTACTTGATAGGCATGTAGATCTCTTTCAACAAGAGTAGGGCAACGGAATAACGTAACATTACGCAAGCCATCTGGGAAGTAGGTAACATTACGTACGACATCTGGGAAGTAGAAGGGAGAGATTACCGTATTACCTTCAAGTCTCGTGGTTTTCAACATTTAGTACATGAAATTTTTTTCGTCCTAGAGTCATACCTAAAGTGTTAATTTTAGGACAGTCTCATACATCTGTTAAGGGGGCAGCCTCTTTCTGAAAATTGGGGGTCAGGTTATGGAAGGAATTGAAGGAGTGTCAATGTTGTGGGCTCGTATTAGGGGTTAAACTATAGGGAGTTACAGCTGAGGGATAAAGGAAGGGGTCACAGAGAGGGGGATGGGAGAAGGGTGCTTGGGTGCAGAGGATGAAAGGGTGTCGGGTTGTCGGGTGGGGAAGACGAAAGGGGTTCTGGTTTTTTTTATTTATTTTATTTTTTTTTGAATTGTTTAATTTCCACGTGGACCCTTTAATGACATGTGGCGCCCAGTCATTGTCTATGTGGGCGCCACATCATCAATTAACGGGAGACTTAACAGCCAGACTAACGGATGTATGAGATTGTCCTAATATTAACACTTTAGGTATGACTCTGGGACAAAAAAAACTTCACGTACTAAATGTTGAAAACCACGAAATTTGAGAGTAGTAAACAGGAAT